CTCACCTATGTCAGAGCTATTGAAGTCCTCAAATCATGGTTTAAAGACTTCAAAGTGCAGAGAATCCTCCAGCAAGTGACCCGTGCCGCATGCTACAGAGGAATGTGAAAAACCCCCAGGGCCTCTTCCAATCTGCCCTGGAGGAAAATTCCTTCCCAACCCCAAATATGGTGATCAGCTGAACCCTGAGCATGTGGGCAAGATTCACCAGCCAGATACCCAGGAAAGAATTCTCTGTAGTAACTCAGATCCCATCCCATCTAACATCCCATCACAGGCCATTGGGCCTATTTACCATGAATAGTCAAAGATCAATTAATTGCCAAAATTAGGCTATCCCATCATACCATCCCCTCCATAAACTTATCAAGCTTAGTCTTGAAGCCAGATATGTCTTTTGCCCCCACTGCTTCCCTTGGAAGTCTTTTCCAGAACTTCACTCCTCTGATGGTTAGAAACCTTCGTCTAATTTCAAGTCTAAACTTCCCAATGGCCAGTTTATATCCATTTGTTCTTGTGTCCACATTGGTACTGAGCTTAAATAATTCCTCTCCCTCCCTGGTATTTATCCCGCTGATATATTTATAGAGAGCAATCGTATCTCCCCTCAGCCTTCTTTTGGTTAGGCTAAACAAGCCAAGTTCCTTGAATCTCCTTTCATAAGACAGGTTTTCCATACCTCGGATCATCCTAGCAGCCCTTCTCTGTACCTGTTCCAGTTTGAATTCATCCTTCTTAAAAATGGGAGACCAGAACTGCACACAGTATTCCAGATGAGGTCTCACCAGTGCCTTGTATAATGGTACTAACACCTCCTTATCTCTACTGGAAATACGTCACCTGATACATCCCAAGACTGCATTAGCTTTTTTCACAGTCATATCACATTGGCGGCTCAGAGTCATCCTATGGTCAACCAATACTCCAAGGTCCTTCTCCTTCTCCATTCCTTCTAATTGATGTGTCCCCAACTTATAACTAAAATTCTTGTTATTAATTCCTAAATGCATGACCTTACACTTCTCACTATTAAATTTCATCCTATTACTATTACTCCAGTTTACAAGGTCATCCAGATCCTCCTGTATGATATCCCGGTCCTTCTCTAAATTGGCAATACCTCCCAGCTTTGTATCATCCGCAAACTTTATTAGCACACTCCCACTTTTTGTGCAGAGGTCAGTAATAAAAAGATTGATTAAGATTGGTCCCAAAACCAATCCCTGAGGAACTCCACTGGTAACCTCCCTCCAGCCTGACAGTTCACCTTTCAGTATGACCCCTTTCAGTAGTCTCCTCTTTAACCAATTCCTTATCCACCTTTCAATTTTCATATTGATCCCCATCTTTTCCAATTTAACTAATAATTCCCCATGTGGCACTGTATCAAACGCCTAATTGAAATCTAGGTAAATTAGATCCACTGCGTTTCTTCTGTCTAAAAATTCTGTTACTTTCTCAAAGAAGGAGATCAGGTTGGTTTGACACGATCTACCTTTTGTAAAACCATGTTGTATTTTGTCCCACTTACCATTGACCTCAATGTCCTTAGCTACTCTCTCCTTCAAAATTTTTTCCAAGACCTTGCATACTACAGATGTCAAACTAACAGGCCTGTAGTTACCCGGATCGCTTTTTTTTCCTTTCTTAAAAATAGGAACTATGTTAGCAATTCTCCAGTCATATGGTACAACCCCTGAGTTTACAGATTCATTAAAAATTCTTGCTAATGGGCTTGCAATTTCATGTGCCAATTCCTTTAATATTCTTGGATGAAGATTATCTGGGCCCCCCGATTTAGTCCCATTAAGCTGTTTTGAGTTTTACTTCTACCTCAGGTGCCAAATTTCATAGTGCCCTAGGTAGCTGCATGCTGCGTATGCGGCGCTGGCTCCAGTGGCCATGCCTATCCCCCAGCCATTCCCCCTGCTCGGCCCCTGCCCTGCCCCCATTCGACCCCTTCCCCCAAACTCCCGCCCTGCCTCACTTCTTCCCGCCCCTGCTCCGCCTGACCCCCGCCCTGATTCCACCTCTTCCTCCAAACCCTCTCCGCAAGCGATGGGCCCACAGGATTAGCGGGGGTACTGGAGACGGCAGAAAGGGTCAGGCCCGCCCCTGCACTCACCAGCGGCGGGAAGCAGAGAGACTCGGCTCCAGCCCACTCCGCTCTGCCAGCGCCCAGCGGCATTGTTCTGCTTCCCCCTACCGCCACTGCTGAGGGTAGGGGTGGGCCTGACCCCTTCCTCCAAGCCCCCTCCCACAAGCCTCCAGGCCCCCCATTAATCCCTTGTGCTGCCCTGGGCCTCCCTGCCCTGCTGCTGCTCCCCACAGCACATGCCCCTACGGCCCTGCAGCCTTTGAGAGCGCCCTCCGCCCCTCTGCGGAGGGGCCAGCCCCCCTGCAGGGGGGGTGCAGGTGCTTGGGCTGCGTAGGGCACCACCATAGGTAGGGACGTCCCTGCCCAGAGCCCCACCCCTAGCCAGAGCCCTCACCCTCCCCAGCACCCCAATCCCTACCCCAGCCCAATGAAAATGAGTGAGTGAGCGAGGGTGGGGGTGAACGAGCAATGGAGGAAGGGGGGATGGAGTGAGTGGGGGTGGGGCTGGTGAGAAGGGGCAGGTCTTCAGGGTAGGTGGTGGGGCAAGGGTGTTCTGTTTTCTGCAATCAGAAAGTTAGCAACCCTAACTTCACATACAGCAGCCAAGGGAGTCTTGGAAAGACAGGGGAAGCTTGTTTGGATGTGATTAATTTTAGGAGCGCCAAATGTGTTGAAATACACCAACAAGTTGTTTCAAACCACCTACTGCTAAGTACAGTAATTTAGACCTTTTGCTGATCATTCAGATCTCATTAGCTTGCGAAGGTCAGATGGAAGAGTCCTATGGAGCCGGGCACATCATATTTCTGCTGATCATGTTCATCACATCTTTAGAAATGAGAAATATGGCAGCTATAGAAAAGAAATCTGAAATGTCTTCATTGGGAAATGAAAGGCACTTCTAGCAGCACAGGACTCCTTAAGGCCATACTGCATGCCAGGACATGGGCCATATCCCAGATATGAAAGGCAGCATCACAGCATACTCTTAACTGGAGGTAACAACTCATGGCCAATCTTTGAGGGGGAACACCTCCAGCAACACCCACTGTCATGCTGGGAGATGGCCCAGGCCAGGCTGTAGTACAAAGAGTTTCACTTCAAGCAGTTTAGCATCTGTCTCATGTCTGATTGAGTTACTGGGAAATGCAACATGGCCAAGTTATGAGAGGCAGCAGCTCCAGTAATCCAGGGCAGGAGTGGCTGTAGTGTTAGTTAGGTGGGGAAAGTCAAGTTAGGTTTGCGTCTATGACTTTTCTGAGCCCATATAATGCAAAGCTTTTCAGGGAATACTTCATGTTTATCAGTTCTAGCTGAAGTAGGATCAGAGTTGTGACAAAGCAGACTCTCTTGCCTGGTGCTCTCTGATTTGGAACAGCTGGCATAGTTATTTGGCAGAGATGATAAATAACCGCCAGCATTTTCTTCCAGATGACATGCTTTGAAAGTTTGTTCCCTTCCACTTATGGATGGTATAGGAAAACATGCTGATTATGACCTGAGACATCTAGGAAGTCCTCCAACAAAACGAGAAGACCAGACTTGATGTATTTGATATTTCAAAGGTTTAAAAAAAATCAGAAGAAAAGCCTTAATACATGAATTCAGATTGATAGAATTACTTCCCTTACCATGAAAACGAATGGCCATCCAGCTGTTATAAAATTCTAATCAAACAATATCACCCTTATTCAAACTGAAAAAGTTAACAGAGTTCAAACTTAAACTTTCAGTACTTTTAAATGAGAAAATATCTTAAATGTATTTTGCTGTATCTTGTGACAAAATGTAGATCCACTTTTTTGTAGTACTTTTATTATTTGGAATTATGTAAAGAACATGAAGTCTTTTTCCAGGAAGTGTGATATCTGCATATTTTCTTAAAATCCAATGGTTCTTTTTTGCAGTTCTTTGGGTGAATGGTATTGGATTTCAGGGCGATGTTACCAGCAAGGTTCTACATATCTTTCACCTGTGTTTTCCAATGTCATGTTTTTCACTCTTTCCAAGGAGTCCACAATGACAAATGTTTGTTTCAAAGAAGCTATTGTCCTTCAGTGAGACTGACTGTACTTATCTTTTGCATTTTATCGTATGGGCCAGAGGCTATTTAATTTCTCTCCTTGTTATAATTCTGACAATGCTTTAACACTAAACAATGTAACCAAACAGGTTCAGCATTATGTAATGAGGGTCTAATTCAGCAATGGTCTGAGTAGATACAACCCACATTGACTTCAGTGGAAGTTACATCTAGTTATGTGAGGGGACAGTTAAATCCAGTGTTTCTGCTTCATTCCTTATCATCTTCTCCTATTCTCTAAAATGATCCGGCCTAGCTTTTCTCAGGACTATTACTTTTCCTCCTTCACTATAAAGAAACCTCTATTCCTTATATCTTGGCTTTAGAGGCAGGAGATGGCCCCTGTATGAATTTCACACAGGATGATGGTTACCCTCCCACTTAGGTACTGTTCAGCAATAAGCAAATATCCATGGGAGGATTCCTGTATAAAAAGCAACGTGACTTGGTGAGGGGCCTTAGCATGAGCCCAGCTGTTCCCTGACCACTACAGAGCCTGTCCCCGCCTCTGCCTCACATCAGTCCCTTTTCACCAGAGACTTGCACACCCCCACCTTCCCAACAGCCCCCATTCTCCCTCCCCTGAGGGGACCCTTCCCCCCACGTTGGCCCCCCCTCCACGCTTCCTCCTTTAGCCCCGCCCCACGTCACAACGTCGACCCCCTTCAGGGGCGAGCACTCAGCGCAGGGGAGGCGGGGGCTTCCTCCCTCCCCCCGCGCCTCTTCCCTGCCCCTCGAGGCCCCGCCCCTTTCCGGCGCCGCGAGCCTCTGGCCACTGCCACGCCCCCAGTCTGGCTGCTGGCGGGGGCTCAACCAATCGAGGCGCAGCCGGTAGCAGCGGCGCTCGCGCTGCTCCCTCAGTGCCTTGGCTGGGTGTGCGCGCGCGCGTGTGTGTGTGTGAGTGAGAGAGTGACCGGCCGGCCGGCGCGCGCGCCCGCAGCTGTCTGTCTCCTCATCGTCGCCGCGAGCCCCGGTAAGGGACACCCCTCTGCGCAGGGACACGGCAGCGGCCGGGTGGTAGAGCTGCGCCCCATCGCAGGGGCCCCCTGGGAGAGGGAGGGGCTGAGGTCGCTCCCTGGCAGCGGGCTGCGGTGGGGTTGAATCCCGCCCTCGTAGTGGGGTCCCCATTAGCGAAGGGTTTAGGTTGGGCGTGGTGGCGCGGGGCGATGGGCTGGGGGCTCCCCAGGCGGGGCTGGGGGTGGGTGAGCGAGCAGGGTCCCCGCATAGCAGAGGGGCAGGGTGTGTGTGTGAGGGGGGGGGTGCCCTGTACGTTGCCCTCAGCTTGAGTGACTTCCAGAGCGGCATGTGCAGCTTTTCCTTGCAGTCAGCAACGCGGTTCCCTCCCCGCCCCCTTCTCCTGGCTGGGGGGAGTCCGGCCTCTTGGGATCCTGGAAGCGACCCCCCTACCCGCGCAAGTCTCCCGGGCACTCCGCCGTGCTCGCTGCGCGGCGCTCCCGCAGGGGTGGTTCCGCCGGTTGGCTCCCGGCACGGGCTCCCGCACTGAGGAATGAATGAAACGTCAGTCATTTTGCCTCACCCACCCAGAGCGCCTTCAAGGGAAAGGGTATCCAGCTGATTCTCTGTCAGTATTACTTTGCAGGCACCCCACGGCTCGGACCCACCGGGGCCAGCGTCCACCTCGTCTGAACCAGTGTTCATTCTCTGACTGAGCTCACTCTGGTTAAAAATGCCACAGTCTAAAATGAGGCCAAATGCAAAACAGTAACTGTGCTGCAGAGCCATTGTACAAAGAAATATCTATACATGAAAGTTAAAATAGTAGGCCCTGAAAGTTGCGGAAACCTTTCATTTGTTGTGCTACAAAACACCCAGTTTCTGTGATCAAATACACAAAGTAAACGATATTCTGTAGCATCTTCTCTCTCCTTCTCTGTATGGTACAAGAAAGGGCGGGTGCATCACAAAAATGTGACTTTTTGCATCCGTTGACTGTATTTGTCTTGACTTCATTTTAGAACAGTGAAGCTGTAAATACAGGGAGAGGGGTGATGGTGGGATGGAGAAGGCTGTTTGAAGGTAAATAATATGTAATTCGTGGTTAGAATGTCCCCCAGTGTAACTTGTAGCTCTAGGAAAGTGGGATAGTGAGAGTGGATGTTGGCTAAAAAAAAAACCTTCACAATCAGCTATCACGAGCTGCTTTCCAAATTTTCATTAACTTTTCATGGTCTGCCATGGCACTCTTTCCTGTGTTCAGGATGGTCAGCATGTTGGGTTGCTGTCATCCAGTAAGCAAGCTAATTATGCTGGAACTATAACATATTTGAAGTGGTAGTTGAGTGACTAAGACTTAACACTATCTCATACCTGTCAGTATTCTTAGCTAACATCTGAATATAGAAAACACCTGGAAGTGAGGCATGTCTCCTGATTTCATCAGGAAAGTTGACATAAAATACTACTCAAGATACTTAAAACCCTTCTCAATGCAGTCTGTACACGCTGTACAGCCTCTGGTGAATCTGCTGCACCAGAGGAAATTTTCCCCAAAAGGCAAGTGTAAGTATAGCCAAGTGCAAGAGATTTCAAGTCTTATAACTCAAATTCTTTTTCTACCTTGCAGCTGACTTGTACTTTACATGGTCAGTGAGTGTGTGTGTGTGTATGTATGTGAAATGTAATATATAATTTTGTTTTGCTTATTTGAAAGGCTAGATTTTGGAGTAAATTTTAACAGGAAAGATTACACTTTGCATCATGGTGTCTTTAAGAGTGCTAGGTCTAAGAATGGGGAATATCTTTAAACTCCTTTTATTACACTATTCTCTTCCCTAAGTGTCTGATTACTTGTCTTTCTAGATCTAAAAGTATATTTACTTTAATCAGCTTATTATACACCTTATTATACAGCCTGTAAATAATAATGGAGAGCAACTGCTCTCACTGATGTAAGTACTGTACAGCACTGTACTGTACTGAGGTTTCGTAGCTACCAGTCCTCAGACTGATGTTTCTGACTCTGTGGATACTGAAAATGATTGATTGAGATAATGCAACTTAAAACCACTACTACAAACATGTGACTAGTATAAATACAGAATGTCAACAGAGATCCAGAGAGTATATTTGTAAGCTGTTTATTAAAGTATTAAACTTCATAGTAGTGCCTTACATCTGTAGTTGGAGAGAGAATCAGATGCATTAGCTTGGGAATGGGACAGTCTGGGGAGGAAAGAGAGACCCGGAACCGAGAGGCGCAGACTCCAGTCCTGTTACAAGTTCCAAGCTCTGCAACAGGCTTGGCGTAGCTTGAAAGCTAACTACTAGTGCCTGAGCTTTCTAACTCATAAAATGTTGGGGAGCTACAGCTTTCACTTATGGACCTTTTCCTTAAATGAACAATTATGTTTAGAAAAACCCTTGGAAATCAGACTGAACATTTTTTTACCTACTATAAAGGCTATTACTACTGAAAACAATTAGAGAAAAAAGTCTTTCAATTTTACTTTGGGCAAAATACCTTTTTTTAGTATCAAATTCTTAGTTCTGTGTTGGGCTGTATCTTTTTTCTACTTTAAATTAAAGACTCAGCTTTATTCCCTCTCTCTCTCTTTTTTTTTTTTTTTTTTTAAAAGAGGGAATGCATTTAAAGTCTGCACTTAAACTCTCCTTTCTTGTTAGCAGCCGCGCTTCCCATTTTGTTAGACCCCTGGCAGTGAAACAGGATCTGTAGTCCGGAGTGTAAAAGACAAATTGAGCTTTTGTTGTTCAGTAGCCCATTCTGCAGCAGCATAACCTTTCACCTACTTTTCTGCAGCAGTCATGTGACTTTCTAGTGCTGTGGAGGAGGAGTGCGGTTTCAAGAAAAGAAATACCGGTTGTGCAGTGGAAGTGCCCTTCAAATGACACATCAGAGCGTCGTAAAACTAAACTGCAGATCCAAATGTATTCTCAATTATTTGGTGGGAGGGTAGGGGTAAAAAAAGAGAGAACAAAAATGCCTAAGACTGTCTAATTCAAATGTTTTCTTGTCAGGAAAAATGGTTAACCTTTACAATATGCAGAGAAAATGGAACTGGTGGATCTAGCTTCTTGCTGCTTTAAAAAATGTATGATTATAAGCCCAACCTTGGAGAGCTTTCCTGTATAAAAAGCAACTTAAATGGAAGCTTTTTTTTTTTTTTTTAATTGGCATGCAACTAAGTTGGGTATCGTAATTCAGTACAGTCCTCTAGGACTTGCAGTATACTGTGAAGTATTCCTAAACTCCAGATTTTTAGGAAAACATGCATATAAACAATTGTAATGCAGTCCTCCCTGCATGTTCAAATCACCTTTTTTTTGTAGGGTCTATTTAAATGATGGCACCAGTGTTTGACTCTTTTTGGTTTGTTTTTTTGTTCTTTTTAGTCCCTAGGGCAAATGAAAAGTCTACCTCTTGAACCCTCCCCCCGTGCCCGCCTTACCCACTTGCACTGTAAATCACATAATCTGCTGCCTGAGATGACCCCACTTTTTTTGCCTCGTTGGCCCTGCTTAGCAGTCATACTGATAGCTGTTTTGAGCCACTGGAGAATGTATGCTTAGCCAATAAAAAGCTTGTCACTCCAGTTATCTAGGTTAATGTACGGAGGGTAAGCATTGCAATTCTGTGTTACCGCAGGAATATTACAGAAGGTAATTAGTGGAATGCCATTATTCTGGTAATGTAAATGCTTAGGTGTATCTTTCACAACAGCAAAACCAATTCCCCCTCCCTCCAAAAAGACCCCCAACAAAAAACAACCCACCAGTCTTCAGCCCTTTCCTTGCTGCATAGCAAAATAGCTATATGGTGTTTTGGTTTTACATGTCTGGCTTTTATGTAGCAGGATGTACTTTAAACTTCCAGAATGTCATAAAAGGTGGCTTTTGCGTGGATGTACGGAATAACATGCATTGCAGTACAGGCCTGAAGTAATGCCTTTTTCTAGGCTTGGTACTGTATAGAAAAGAACATATATGGGCAGAGAATAAGGAAAATATCTTTCTACTAGTATTTTCCTGATAAGTGAATGTCAATTTTGCCTTTGAACTGAGTTGAGCTGTGTGAGCTGTCTGAGTTTTTAGCCTGTACATTAAAGGGCCTTTCCTCTACCTGTAGCTTGCTGCTGTGGAAGTGTGCTGGAGTGGCAGTTTTAGAGTGAAGTCCTCTAGTATTTATGCAGTAAGTACAGCTCAGGCTGCTGCAGTCAGGTTCCCCCATCCTTATTTGCCCATGTGCCTCTACTATTGACAAAATAGTTTATTCTTAGACTTGGTAGAATTCAATTATTATTTTTTTTATAATTTTGATGAGTAACATTGTTTATTTTTAAGCTTTTTTTTTTAATTTACCTGTTCAAAATTTCACAGTTGTGCAAAATTAGGAGTTTTAAACATTTTTTTCTGGATTTCTGTTGATTAAAATTTTCACAGTTGTGGGAAAATATTAGGGGGGGGGCAATTATTTAAAGACAGTAGATGCTGAGATTCAAAAAGTTGAAGCTTTATTACAGTTAAAACGCAAATTGTTAATATCAGCTGTCAAACTATACAGTAGAACCTCAGTTATGAACACCTTGGGAATGAAGGTTGTTCTTAACTCTGAATAAAATGTTACGGTTCTTCTTTCAAAAGTTTGCAGCTGAACATTGACTTAATACAGCTTTGAAACTTTACTATGCAAAAGAATAATGCTGCTTTTAACCATCTTAATTTAAATGAAACAAGTACAGAAACAGTTTTCTTACCTTGTCAGATCTTTTTTTTAACTTTCCCTTTTTTAAGTAGTTTACGTTTAACACTGTACTGTATTTGTTTTTGTTTTTTTTTGTCGCTGCTGTGGCTACCTGATTGCATACTTCCAGTTCCAAGAGAGGTGTGTGGTTGACGGGTGTTTGTAACTCTGAGGTTCTAATAACAAAGCAAATATCCTTAAATTGAAATATAATAAGTGCTCAAGTAGCACTTTTCTTAGTTTGCCTATCTGAA